GATTCATTAATGTGTAGATGAAAACAAGGAATGTATCTTCATACCTTGTCCTGCTCATACAGATTGCCATTATAGATGGCAGATTTTTGCATTAATGATTTTAGGGACAGCTAAAATTGTTCATAATATGCATCCACTTGAAGGTTATATCACAGGAGATAACATTAGTTACATTAGTGGAGAGGTAATGGAGTGAGGAATGGGAAAGCTGTAATTTATAATCTTTCTATTGTCCATTTCCATTGTTACAAGCATGCATTACTTTTGTAATCTGAAACACATTCTGTAAAAAAAAAAAAAAAAACCCTGAAAATCAAGTGAAAAGACTGTTCTCTTTGATACAAGAGCATGTAGTATAATGTATGTAGGAGTGACACCAAGTTGACAACAGACATCTATAATGTTACAGGGTTTTAAGTGATGGCACAGGACTTGTACATGGCACATGGAAGGGCAGTAGTTCTCAAATTTTTGCTCAGTTACATTGTGGATGTTTTCTTTGATATGCCTATCAGCTATCCAAGTAGAGACTGGACTGGGAGCTGGACATGTGGTTGGAAGCTCAGAGAGAGCGTCTGCCTGGCGTTTCAGTCCATCTACACATGCTGATGTAACACACAACCCTGAATTTCAGCAGCTTATAAACAACATGTGTCTACCGTCCTGTTATCTGCAGCCTCGTGTCAAGTCTCTGTGGGTGTGTCTTCATGCTGGCTGCTGGGCTGAAGGAGCAGCCCTTGTCTGGGGTAGAAGAAAAGAACACTGGGTGTGTGGGTTCAGGTGTGGAACGTGTCACTATGGGCTTTAACAGAAGGACAGAATAGTGCATCTGCCCCCCCTTCACACCTGTACTGCCAACGCCCCATCCTCCAGCACACAGTGCCTGCGTCCATTGTGTCCTCAAATGTGCTGCTGTGACAACCTGGAGCCTGAGATGTGTTTCTCTTGCCTGAGCCCGTCTCTCGTGTGTGGCACGTGTGACCACATCCTCCTGCACCCCCGCAGGTGATACCTTGGTGGAAGGGGGATTCCACAAACCTCTCCTGCCTGCACCTTGAGCCTCCTCCCCTGATCTCAAGGTGACATGCAGCTGGAGAGTCTAGGACTGGGGGGAGGGGCAGTAGTGGGAGACCAGACATCCCAGATGGAGCTGGTAAAGAAAACCATTTGCATCAAATCCCCAAAGAGTAGGGACAAAAAGATGGTCTGTCGCCAGGAGAACAATAAGGAGGTAACAACAAAGAATCATTTTGTGCTGTTGAGTGCCACGTCCTTGAGTGTGGACAGTGAGGACCATCCGCAAGGGGTGAGGGTGGCTTTTCTGTGGGAGGGAGAGGAGGTGGCAGAGAGGAAAAGTCACTGAGACAGGACCTGCCAGGCAGGCAGAGACCCGGCCACAGAGCAGGGTCACAGAGACACAGACACAGACAAAGATCAGGGACAGAGCTGACGGGGATGGAGACACAGCGAAATGGGAGCATCAGAGAGAGCTCGAGAAAAAGGCAGGTGGAGGGAAGATCAGAGAGCTGTGCCTGCTGGGTTTTACTCAGGAGGTTGGGGGGCTAGAAGATGGTCTGAGGGACATTGTGGGTAAATGTTTGTCGGGGGCATCAGTAGGAAAAGCTCAAATCAATGAGGTGGATACACGCCAATAAGGTGCCAGCCAGAAGATGCCAGTGGGTGCAGCTCAGTCAATAAGGGTCATTCAGTAAATATCAGCTAGTGATTCAATTAAGCGATCCAAGAAACCTGGACTGGGCACCTTGGGGTGCCAGGCGCAATGCATTGTGCTGAGGGCAGAGGAAGTAAATGAGATGGCGCTCAGATGTCCTCAGGCAGGTGAACACAACATGAATGAAATGCCCCAGTCAGCACTTGCTGGGTCAACACAGTGTGAGTCAATGAGTATCACCTGCCAGAGGCATTCCCACACCCCTTGAGGGAGGTTTAAGTTTTGCTGTTTCATAGAGGAAAACGTGGAGCTTCAGACAGGTTAAGTTAGGACCTGACAGAGCCACGTCTGCACCCAGGTCCTTTGGCTTCCGAAGGGTCTGCAGGCCGAGTGCTCATGGATACGCTGTTCATCTGATGGGTGTCACAGGATGGGGTGAGAAGAATTAGTTACTCATGGCAAAGACCAGATCTTCTCAGCTCAACTTATGTTTCCCTTACCCAAGTTCTGGGATCAGCCATTTCTTTAAAAAACAAACAAACAAAAAACCCAAAAAGCACTCGTTTATTTTAGCAGGGAATGGTAGTTAGGAACCAAGATCTAGGTGCTAAGTGTACTAGTTGTTACAGGGACTTCTTTGCTTCTAGACCAGACAGGGAGATAGAGGTAGATACTCTTAAATACACGCAAGTGTATTTAAGACAGTTTTCTGTCTACATCTCTATTTGTGTGTACATTATAAACTCTGGCTCACCCTGTTACCTCCAATCCCTCAGAATTCATCTGAGCCCCTCCTGCCATGGCCAGTTTGTTGTTAGCTGTGATGCAGCCGCACTGGCTACAGGTGCCAGATCTGTCTGTCCTGCCAGGATAGACATCTCCTGGGCGTGCCATTTGAACTGTGGTTGTGAATGCTACAGGGGCCTGGCATCCACCTTGGGAGCCTGGAAGATGATGTGACCTCTGCAAGCTGATCCTGAGATGTCACTCAAGGACCTGACAATTTGCCTTAGATTCGGGCAGAAGGGGCTGGGGGTAGGGTCTGCTGCTGCCACCATAGAGCTCAGGATGCCCAGCGGCACCTCACCTGCATGGGGTGCACAAGAACGCATGACTCAGCAGCAGGGTTGGGTGGAAGATCCTTTCCACAGCTGTCCTGCATGGAGCTAACTGTAGTAGACCCTCCTCTGCTGATTCTCCCTCCAGCTCTCCCACTGTGGCCTCAGGGCAGGGCTGGGCGCAGGGCTAGTACTGCCACCTACCAGGAGCCTTGGCAGCATCCTGATGCAGCTCTGAAAGAGGGTGCACCCTGCAGAGTGCACCCCAGATGGCAGAGCAGGATATGTGTAGAGTCAGGAACCTGGGAGACAGAGGTGTTTTCACGTGACTAGAAGTTTGGTGCAGGACCACGCCTGTATCATGCATCACCTCTGTGCCTTCAGCCTAAAGCTGAACCCTGAGTGGGAATTTGCAAGTGCTCCAGGGGTGAATGGGTGCCCAAGAGACACTCTGGGAGTTGGGAGGGAGAGGGAAGTGGGCAGATGACCTCCCTGCAGCCTCCAGCTCTGAGTCTGGTCTGTTGCTTGTTGCCTTTGGGAAAAGCCCTTGGTCTCTGTCAGCATCTGGGCTCTGGGCAGGACTGGCCAGCTGGCTCAGCGGGTCCTTGTCACTCATCAGGCTGACCGGAGTAACCGTGGACAGTGGGAGCCTAGTGGTTTGGGGTGAGGACTTCCAGAGGGAAGGAGTGCTCTGGGGGACTCAGGCTGGGGAATCCTGGACAGGTCACTAAGCCGGGACCCATATCCAGCCATCTTAGAACATGAGGCAGAGGCTTCATCTCTGGGCAAGACAGGCCATTGGCAGAAGCGGGCACAAGGCCAGAGTTGGGGCAGGATATGTCCCGGGTTGACCAGGGTTGCAGGGGTGGGCCAAAGGATGTTAGCTGTGGGCTGAAGTGTTGGTATCAGGGAACCGGGGAGGGTTTAGTTCGTGGACTAGCTCTTTTATTTCCTGCGGCCCCTTCTGAAGCGCCCTTCTTCTAAAGCTCCTCCTCAAAACATCCATTTCTCCTCATCAGTTTCAATCTTGTAAACACAGCTTTACGGGGTTGCTCTTTGAGGGGCTTGGGTTTTATCTTCCATCTCTCTTCACCAAGTCCTTTTCAGAGGTCGCTTTTCTGCGCTGACAACCCTTCTCTCCCGCCGCTCTCCCTCGGCCTCCTCTCTGTCGGTGGAGTTTGATGTGTGCCCTCCGGCATTGTTGTGCCGACCTTCCTGTGTTGACAACACAAGCCCAGACACTGGAAAGCTGTTCTGTATCGATTCTGCCAGGATTTCCAGGCTCCTCAAGCTGCAGGGGCTCGTCTGTCCCCGGCGTCCTGTTGGGCACCGACACTACCGGAGCTCACCAAGTTGGCGCCAGACTCTGCCTGTGGGGCCGCACTGTTACATTTTTAGTGAAAACATTCAAATATCCTAAGTTTCTCTCCTCTTCTTGGCATTCAAGGCCCAGATTAACCTGGCAATGGGCAAATTTTCTAGCTCTACCTCCCTTAACCCTCCCCCTTCATGAATCTTAAGGTTCAAAGGTTCATACTTGGGTACTTTATGTCACTTTACATTTTAGTTTTTTGTATTTATTCTTTACCTTTTAAAACATTTCATATGTCTGCATATTGATTGGTTGAGATATACTTTGGTGCCTTTGGTTACCTCTCCTCTATTGAAATCCTATTCGTTCCACAAATGTCACCTCTCCTGGGGAGTCTTCCCTGATTAGCAGTAGTCCTTCTGGGCCCTGTGGTGATTACCTCCTGCTCCAGTGCTGTGCGAATGCTCATCTACTGCACCCGACCCTGGGAGGCTTCTTGTGAATAAGGCCTGTACCACGTTTGCCTGTATCCAGCTTGAAAAGCCTGGCACACCATTGCAAATAATCCAAAGGGATTTCATTTCATCAAACAGTATCATTTTCTGTGTTCTTTTTCTTCCTAGTTTGTTCTGGATTGCTAGCACCCAGTCTTTCCCAACTTGACCACTAGTTCTTTGCTATTCGAAGTGTGGTCTAGAGACCATCTTCAGCAGCGACAGGGAGTGTGTTAGAAATGCAAGACCTCAGAGCCAACCCCAGCCTAATGAACCAGAATCTGCATTTTACTAGAATCTCCAGGTGATTCTTATGCCAACTGAGGGTTCGGATGAGGAGATGGAAACAGGACTGTCCTGTACAGCTGTGCAGGTTATGTGCTTGCTGCACAATGTGCTTGCCTCACAAAGGGGCAAGTGGGGGCTGAAAGACAGCCTGGGACTCATCCAGATGATTGCCTGAGCTGTAGTCCAGGAGTGGTGCCTTCTAAAAACTCATGTAAGAATCCTCATAGTCTGCAGGTGGGAGTGCAGGGAGAGAGGTACAGAGTTAGTGTCCCATTAATGTTGAGACCCACCGTCACAGCGCTCTCCTTGCTGGCTCCTAACTCCTTCCCCTGACAATAGAGATCTGAGAAAAAAAAATGCATATTTTGAGTTCCAGCCCTTCTGTCTTTCAATTCCTCAAATATGTCATGTTTCTTCCCTCCTTAGGCCCTTTAACAGGTGCTTCCCTTTGCCCTCTGTCTTCCTGTCTTTCTTCTTGCTCCCCCCCCCCACCAATCTATCACTAACTCCTGTTTTAATCCTACGAGTCTCCGTTTAAATGTCACTTCATCAGGAAAGCTTTCCCTCCTTCTCCAGATGACATCAAATCCCCAGGCTGTTTGCAGTCAGAGCTCCCTGTACCTCTTCATGGCATTTATCTCCATTTATAATTAAATAACTAATTGCACAATTAGATGTTCCATGCCTGTCTCCACCCTCTTCTTGATATAAATGCCTCAAGAACTGTAACCCCAGTTCCTAGTTCAGTTATTTGCTCAAAAGTGCTCAAAAACATTGAATGACTGAAGAAGACTCTAAAGACACCAGCCAAGACTGCCTCGGTCAGCTTGTCTTCCCTCCCTGCCATGGGTATTTCTCACATCCTGAGCTTGGGCTCCAGTCATAGTCTCATGTGAGCCGAAATGCATCTCTTCTGAGCCATCCTGAAGCTCTAGATCCTCAAAGTGGACACAGAGATTGGCCCAGATCTGTTCCTTCTTCTTCCACCTCCCTCTGGCACAGTCTGTGCTTCTGAACTGATGCGTTTGACCGGAAAGTTAGCTAAGATGTTAACCTGACCACCTGCCAGCTCTGCTTTGTGTATGAGGAGGTGGCATAGTACAAAGAAAAGCCCAGAATGACAACAGATACTACGCTGGACTCTAGCCAGTGACTGTGCGATTTGGAGTAGGTTCCATCTATCAAGATGCTGGGCTAGATTAAGGATGACAAATAGATGGCACACACGTCTTCACCCCCTCTTGCACTCATGCAGACAGTATTAACTGATCATTGAATTCTTCTGTGCTCACTCCAGGCAGAACCTTAGAGGCTCCTGACAGCCACTCCCAGCCCATCCCTCACCACTTATTTGAACTCTACTTGGCATCTGAGGACCAGATGTTCCCTAAGGTTCTGTCTCGCTCAGGCATCTGAACATTTTGTTTCCTCTGCTGTTTTCCTCAGTCTTTCTAGGGAAAATCTTGTCAGTGCTCAACTGTCTGCAGTCTCCTGCCTCTTGCTTTGTCTAGTAGAACCATGGGAATATTCTTTGCTAAGCGTTTTTGACTTTCCCCTTCTCTCCCAGGTATCTCGGAAGAGAGCTGCCCAAATGCAGGCAGGTCAGTCTCAGGGGTCCCCAGCTGGCCCGAGTTTTGACCCAATTCTTTTGAGCATGCTTTGGGCAGCAAGCCTTCTGTACTTAAAAAACATGATCGGTCCATGCCTTCCTTCTGCCCCCCCTCAAGCTTTCTGCCAATTCCTAGGGGGTGTCTCTCTCAGGATCACTTTTCTGCCCTCACTTTGCTTTCCCTGACCTGTCAGTCACACCCTTGTCAACTCCCTCTTGAGTTGTTCCTTTGTGCATTGCATCTCCCCATGCTGGACAAGGTCTCTTTCCTTTACTCCTCTCAAAGCACTTTCACCACGTGGCTACTATCATATGGTCAACTTTTTCCTGAAGATAGAAGTCATGAGGTGGGGCTGGTGGAGGGGGGTAACAGCACAGGAGGGCACAGAACAAGAAGCACCTTCAACCAGAACAGATGCCATCTTGATTCTCCAGCCCCTCAGCCCACACTGCCCCAGAGCTGGCCTGCTGTGTACCCCTCCTCCTCACCCTTAGTGGTCTTGCTGGCCCACCACCCTCCCCACAGGCTGCTGTTTCCCCAGGAACCACACCTCCTCTCCTGGACTTTCCAGAAAGCTACAAGCATTTCCTTACCTCATCCTGCACTTCTGCTCCCTCTGTGACATGCCTGCTCCCTCTAGGCCATGTCTCTGGGGTATCACATTTCGTTCCCAAGAAGGGTATCTATATTTTCCAAAATAAAAAGTCACCTGCTCTGATAGGAAGTTCCCCTTCTTCTAGCATGCAAAAGCAGCTATAGCCAGTTCTTATTTGAATAGCAATGATGGTTTCTTCTTGATACCATAAGCTGCATCCTCACCCTTTAGGTGCTCGCGGCTGGGTGGTCGGTACCGACAAGAATACTGTACTTTATGTGGTGAGCAGTGCTGGACGGAGGACCAAGTATGATGGAAGTGGACCCGTGGAGCTGGGCAGCTTCCTAGAGGACTCATGTGTCCCAGGTGAGTCTTGAGCCTAAGGAGGAATTAGAGGTTAGGCTCATGGAGGGTGGAGGAGAGAAAGGCACTCCAGAGACAGGAACCACCTGTGTGAAGCTAAGGGGCCTTTACAGCACATCCTGAAACCAGTAGCCCTCCTGTATCAAGGCGTAAGGTATGAGATGAGGTACTGGAGATTGGGGCCAGGTCTTAGGGGACCTTGGTGAGATTCCAGGAGGCCACTTATCTGGGCTGTGGCGGGCTATTTTAGGAAGACCACTGGGCAGCTGCTGGTGTGGGAGTCCAATGGGGGCAGAGAGGGTGCATGGGCATCCTGGGGAATTATTTTTTGCCCAGGATTAAGAATCTAATCAAGAACAGTGGCAGTCCTGATGGAGGCAAGGCAGGATCTGAAGGACATTTAGGGAGTGTAGGTTGATAGGACGAATGGGAACTGGTGTGGGGATGAAGGCTGAGTGACCGAGGGGATTAATTTATTGATCCCTGGGAAACCTGTGTTAGGGTCTATTCAGTAATCTTGGTCCACCTCCATACCTCCCCCCATGGCCTCTGGCTTGCCCTACTAACAACCCAGAGGCTGCTTCACACCTACCCTTCGAGGTGCACATCTGGGGAACAGGTGACTTGACGGCCCCATCACCTCTCACCAGCAAGAGCCAGACCGCCCGTGTGTGGTTCACCAAATTCAGAAGAGGGAACGGGGAATTTCTCTCTGTCTGGTGTTAACAAGAAGGATTTCTGATCTAGGAGGATGGGGATGTTGGGAGCTGGGGTGTCTCCAATGCAAGGTTCAAAGTCCTGCTCTGTTGGTAGCATCCAAAAACTTGCTAGAAGAAAATTCCCCAGGAGAATTGAGAATCACCACCCCCTCTGAGGGAGAAAGGGTTGGTTGGAGTCAGGGAATGTGAGTTGTCTCTGGTTTGGGATTCCAGACTCTACCTGGCCTGGGACACAGAGAGAAGGCTTTGGGCCTGGCCATCTCCTATGAGCTAAGCTTTAGGACTTCGCTCTTCCCTCCTTGAAGGGGCCACAGATGCCTCCAGAACCCACACAGCCAAGAGGGTGGGCTTTGGAATGAGAGGAGACTGGCCTGTGCTCTGGTTTCCATAGCTTGACTCTTAACCATCCTGAAGATTTTTTTTTTTAAAGATTTATTTATTTATTTATACATGCACTGGGTACAGTCAGAAGCTCGGGAGGGTGAGAGAATTCACCAGAGCCAGAGCGGGAAGCAGAGCAGGCAGAAGGACCGAGGTACACTGGTGAGGGGAGCAGCGGGCGGCAGGAGAGGTCTGCGCGCCATGTGGGACCCCCCTCCAGTGGCCAGGGAGCAGCCGGGAATCGAACCGGCGCCGTAGAGGCCGCGGGCAGCTTCGCAACCCAGCGCTCAACCGCTGCGCCACCGGGGAGGCTCCATCCTGAAGATTTTAATTAAGATTCTTTTGTTTGCAAATATCAGAGACCAACTTGGCTTTAATGAAAACAGATTTTTTTGGGGGGTAGTGATACCGCGACCATTCACTGTGAAGCCACCAGGAGAAAAGTCTCCCCTATCTGTGTGCAGGGAGCTTGGTTTCCTTGCAATGATGCCCCACTTTCTAGTCTCACTCTCCTTCTCTGGTGCAGATTCTTTGTTCCTTTTACGCTGGGCACCAGTGGTTGCCTCCTCAGTTTCCAAGCCCCAGCAGTGTGGATTTTGAATTCCACACTTGCCACGGGGGAGAAACTGATTGGCTCCGCTGGAGTCACAGGCTCACTTCTGTCCAACCAACTGTAACCAGGAGGGTGAAGTCAAGAACGTCACCTAATGCTGCCCTTGTCAGCCATGAATCTAGAAAGGGATTCACAAGGCCCCCAAAGGGCCTGTTATTCCTACCCTCAGGTGTCTGCTCTGGAATGTGTTGACAATTTCCACTCGCCGTGAAGGTGAAGGAGCGAAGTCCTGGGGTTCTCTGTCGGCTCTCCAAGCCCACATGCAGATGATGGCTCTGTGCCCGCTTGTCCTCTGGGAACGAGGAGTCTGCTTTGCCACATGGCACCTCCTTGCTGGTGGTGGTGGTGGGGAGTTCTGCATTGGAAGGAGCAGGAGGGGCAGCTGCCCAACTTCCTGTGTGGGATCGTTTAAGTTGCATTTTGACTAGGAGTGAGGGGACATGTATCTGGGGTGTCCAGACTGGCCCTGATTCTGCCTGGTTGTATTGTCTCTGCTTTAGAAGCTCTAGAAGTGGGGGCGGGATCAGCAATGGGGAAGACAGTGATGGAGAAGAATCCAGACTCAGGAGCCACGGAAGTGTCTGGATTCTAGGAACAAAGGTCCTCGAGAGGCTCAAGCTCAGGGACATCCAGGAGACTTCTTCTGAAGGATTTCTGTGCTGTTAAAGTTAGATTTTATTGGACCTTCATCAAAGCGATAAAGATCCCCCCTCCCACCAGTTACACTGCATATAAGTAGGGGGAACACAGACTCAGATCCATCCCGGTCGATCCAAAGCCATCAGAGCTCATTGTCTCCTGTGTTTTGGGGGAAGAGCTTTCCTCTGACACTTGGTTCTTCCTGTAAAGGAAGTTCAATTAGTGTAACTTGGGGTGCATGCCACACCCTTTATTTTTGGTACCCTGGGGAGATGGGATGAGTCTTTATCTTACCAAATGGTAAATTTAGGAAGAATAACGGCGTTGGCCTGCCTGGTACCTTTTCTCTCCAGGGAGTATCCTCACCCCAAGGGGAGCTGGGGGCTCTTCCCTGCTGCCTGTCAGGCCACCCCACCCCATGGGATCCCACAGGATCAGCCTTGCAGTGACACTCACACTCAGGGTCCATTCTCTGGCCCATTGTCTATCTCTGCCTAAGTCAGTATAATGTCAATGATTCGATCTCCATCTATTTGTTTTATTTACATTGTTTTTCAGAACTAAGTCAAGAAGGGGACTGTGACTTATTGGGAACCCCTTGGGGACCCCGACAATATTGCTGTAACTACTAAAAACACAATTAGTGGTCATAGCTATAGGGGTTGTAATAAAGACTGTTCTCACTTATGGAGCTGTCCCTGTGTGCTAACCTCCTCGCTTAGGCTTCCTGGAGACCCTGCCTGTGACCCCAGCAGGTGGGGATCATTATTGTCTCCACTTCATAGTGGAGGAAACTGAAGCTTAGGGTGACTTGGACATTAAGCAACAGGTCTCAGCCACATGCCCAGTCCATGGAGGAACCTGACTGTAGTCAAGGCCAAAGCCATATTCCCAACCCTCGGCTCATACTGCCTTCCAGAAAGAACAAGTCCAGGGAGAGGGTGTCATTACAGAGGGCTTCCCGGAGGAAGGGTGAGCAGAGGCCCTGAGCTAAATCTTGAAGGGTACACAGATAAACACATTGAGCTGTTGATTTAGCAATTCTGTTTTGCTTTGTTCATTGGTGAGTCCCAGTGGTGTGTGTTCCATAACTCTTGGGTGCCTCTCCCTTGAATTTAGATATCATATCATTTGTTTAACTTGCTGAATGAAGTAATTAGTACCTGGAGCCTGCCTGCCTGGCAGAATATATTGGTGCAGCTAACGAAGTTTATGCCTTCAGGCCGTGCAGTGGAATTTGATTTAATTTGTCCCAAGGTTAGGGAAGACGATGGGGGACGCTGGCATCTCCTCCATCTCTGTCACGGAGTTAATTCATTGTGAGGGTGGAGGGAGGCGGCGTTGGGCTGTTTCGGCACTAATGGGACTCCAGAAGATTTCCCACTGGAGTCTGACTTGCTTTATGGGTGCAGTGGAGCAGCGAGCACATCCCCTTCCAGTGCGGAGTCGCAGGCCCTGGCCTGGAAGGGGCCCTCGCGCTGCCCCGTTGCTATGGACACCGCAAAGGCCTTGCCCACAAGACTCGAGCGCCTGGGGGTGGGATGAGGCCGTAGGTAGGACTCTGCCTCCCATGTCTACCCGGGCCCTGTCTCTTCTGTGTGGGCAAAACCAACCCCTAACCCTCTCCACGGCAGCACCCTCCCTGCCCACAGTGCAGACTTGTCTCCAGGCTGTTCCCTTTCTCTTTCTCCAAACTTCTCTAATCTCTGCTCCTGTAGTGTCTGTTCTGACCCATTTCCATGGCCCTTTCTTCCCTGGACTGTTCGAGATGGGATAGTGCTGGAACGACTGTGATTCGGAAGTTAAGGGTGTGCGTTTCGGAGCTGAGTTTGAATACCAGCTGTATGACTTCTTTGCTGTATGTTCTCATTAAGATTCCCTTAACCACTCTTTGACCTGGTTTGCTCACCTCCCAAATGGGAGTAGAGCGGGCCTTGTGAGGCTAGGTGAGTTAATCTAAAGGTAAAGCGTGCAGGACAGTCCAGGCTCACGGTATGTGCCCCCTAAGGATTAACCCACCAGAGCTGGTCTCCTCTCCACCCTCTGCACCTCCCACGACTTCTCACCTTCAGATGCCACTGGGAGGTGTCCTGCTGCCGCCCTCTCTGAACCTGTACTCACTGGCTCCAAGTCCAGCAGGCAGGCTGACCCTGCCCTTGCAGGCCTTACAGCTGTGAGATGCTCTCAGTCAGTCTGAGGTGAGTGGGTGAGGACGTGAGGTGAGTGGTTGGGAGGACTGGCCAGCAAGTCCCTTCTCCTGCTCTTGCGTCTCTTTAGGGAGCTGCGTTAGGCGTGAGGCTGACCCGTCCCCTTCCTGGTCACCCGGATGAGCTGAGCTGGCTGCCCTTGCCCTTCAGCTTCCATGGGCTGAGTGTTCTGTGATAGATGTTGGCCTTTCCCGAGAGAGAAACGTCTCTATGCTGTCTAAGGGAGGAGCCCTTGAAGACTAGGGGTCCTTCCCAGAGGATCAAATGAGATAAAGTGCTCAGTGCAGCGTGAGGGAGAAATGCCCCCGGCTGGCTGAGTGCCTGGTCTGTCAAGCTCAGTGTGCTCAGGCTGGCAGAGTGAAGACCAGCGGCCCTGGGGCTGTGTCAGGGCCACGTGCGTTGGCAGAGCTGCAAGGGGAGGGGGCATGGGGCTGCTTCCAGGGCAGAGTTAGGCCTTGGCAGGGTGAGGGGAAAGGAGAGTGTCTTTGGCTCAATAGCAGGGCAGCAATTCTAAGAGCTCAGTTACCCCAAAGTGGCAGGAACTTTGTGAGATAGTGAGCTTGCCGTCACTGGACAGGTTCTAAGGACAGCCTTGCATTGAGTCTGCTGGGCTGACCTTTCAGAAGCACTCACTGTGTGGCAAACGCTGCACTGAGCACTTTATCTCATTTGATCCTCACTGCAGCTTATCAGATAGTACAGGGATTGCCACCCCCCCTTCAAATTATAAATAAAGCCTAGAGGGTTTTTTGACATAACCCTGTGGGGGTGGGGGCTTAGTCCTGGCATGACCACTTGGTATAGATCACTGGGTAGGAAACTTCTGGTTCCCCCAAGCCTTGGTTTCTGCACCTGGAAACCTACGAGCTGTAAATAAGTGACCTGCAAATATGAGCTGTAGCTATTTTCAAGGGAAGTCATGGCCTTGGGTGAACACAGCTGCCCCCATGTCCCCTCTCTCATCAGCTCACTGTGGTTCTGGGTCAAATCAGGCCTCAGCCTCCCTCATCTGCTGTCAAGAGTTGTAGTTGGGCCAAGCAACATTTTCTCAAACAGGGTTCTTCAGGATGATTTGTGTGAACAAGCTCTCTCCAGGAAAGCAGTCTGGGAAACAGTGGGTTAAACCAAGTTACAAGAATGTCAGGAGTATCCTGTCTTTTCTTTATTGTCATTTCTAGGTCACCAAGATTCTTACTGAAAGCAGTTTGGGAAACAGTGGGTTAAACCAAGTCAAGCAGGTTGTTCACTGCAGGACTTCTCAGAGCCTTTACCGTGTAACTGTGCTGTGACTCTCTTCAAGAGGATGATGGTTGGGCGGCTTACCTGGTTTTGTTTAATCATGGACACCTCTCCAGCCTTTGGTTTTGACATTGCTGTCCAGGAATCCTTGCAACTGTCCCCCCAGCTCACCCCCTCTGGTTGTGGGAAGGGGCTGGGAGAATAATCAAGATGGGATGCTGTTTTGATAGCCGGCACCCAGGCGGAGCCACAGCAGCTACTGGGAGAGACCTCCTGCTTCTGGGCCTAGGGAGGCACATGTGCCTGGCGTGAGCTCTCTGGGCTCTTCTGTGTGGCACTGGGCGAAGTGACAGCGGGCACCAGGCCCATGATGTTCCTGAGCATTGGGATTTTTCTGTCCCTTCCACCATGCCAGCCTGACCCAGCTATTCTCATTGTCTCTCCTGTGCACAAACAGACCCCACAGCCCCGAGTTCCCTTCTGGAATCGCCTTCTCAGGTTACAAGAATGTCAGGAGCATCCTGTCTTTTCTTTATTGTCATTTCTGGGTCACCAAGATTCTTACCGACTGAGATGTGTTCTTGCTGACCAAGATGTTTATTAATTCTCCTGATTCAATACATGGCCATGTCTACCAAGAAAACATAATAGATAAAATATTGGCCTGCACAGAGGACCTCTTACAAGGTACACTTCCCTTTCTTATTATCTAGCCTAATTATTTCTCCCCATACAATACAATATATTTTCTCCTAATCACTGGTCCATTTGGGAATAATGCCTTTAAGACAGCTAGAGAAAAGGGGACTGAGAGCTTAGCAAGGTGGGTAACAGAGGGCTGGGTCTCCAGGCTCCAGCTCTGTTGGTGCTGAGGGGTTCTTGGGTGGGGGTCATCTTTCAGTCCAGGAAGGGTCCAGCCAGCTGGTTCTGACCCTGCAGCCTCTAGGCCCTTGTGAAAAAGAAAAATGAGTCAGCATCAGCTCCAGCGTAGTTTGCTTCCCTCCTAATCGGTGCCAGGGCCCCAGACACCAGGGCTGTAATTACTTATGCTGTCGAGAGAAGGGAGTTCTTAAAGTGATTTATCATGGAGGCGACAGAAAATGACAATTGCTCATCACTTAAAACAATGAGCCTGCCAGATGCTGACCGCGCAGGTGTGGGCACCGGGAGGTGGCGGCCTTCCATCTCTATGGGATTCCATTGGCCCAGTTAATTAAAGATTAGTCCCCCAGGGAGATCCCCTCCAGGGAGAGGCTCCCTGTGGCATCTATTAGGCCTTGGTCAGGGCTGTGCCTCCTAGGTGGGCCCTTCTAAAAGGTTTTATCAACATTTATCAAACTTTTACCATACCAGGCGCTGTGCTGATGGGTTTGTGTATATCATCTCATGACAAGTGGGATGAGGGAGATATTATCCCTCAGGAGTGTGAGAACCCCTGGGAGTCAGCGGCCCCCACAGCTGGACCACAGCTGGCTAACTGACTAGCCACACCCAGGGACTTACTCCCAAGAAGGGAGTTGATGGCCAAGCTTAAGATTCCAGAGATAGAAGTGAGACAGAAATGCATTTCACCCCCAAATCACAGGAACCCCCCCCCCCCACCAACTGCCCCTTTCATTACCTTGGTGTGATGCCTGGGAAAGCCTTTCTGCCTTTTCTCAGTTTTTGTATTCTGTCTGCTCTCTTGTGCCAGCAAAGCCCTCTGCATCACTCCCCTCCTCTACCTCTCTATTCTTAGGAACACCCTTCTCACCTCCTGCTTCCCCAAGAGGCAATATAGTGCAATGGTGGAGAGCTTGCCACTGGGGTCAGACTTCCTGTGCTCTAATCCCTGCTCTACTTGCTGGCTGTGTGACCTTGAGCAAGTTACCTAACCTCTCTGTGCCTTGGCTTCCACCCTTGTAAAATGGAGGTACTCAAAGTATCTGCTTCAAAGTTATTAAGAACATTAAAGGAGTTAATGTATGAGGTACTAAATAATTTTAGGTACTAAATATTACTCGTTCCTTCATTAATATTTTAGGCACCCACAGAGTGTAAACTGTACAACTGCTATGGAAAACTATTTGGAGGCTCCTCCACTAATTAAAAATAGAACTACCATATCATCCAGCAATCCCACATCTGGGTAGTTATCCAAAAGAATTAAAATTAGGATCCTGAAGAGATATCTGCACTCCCATGTTCATTGCTTCACTATTCACAATAGCCAAGACATAGCGACAACGTAAATATCCCTCTGTGAATGAACGGATTAAAAAAATGCGGAATATACACACAATGGAATATTATTCAGCCTTTAAAAAGAAAGGAAATCCTGTAATATGCTACATCATGGATAAACCTTGAGGCCATTATCATGAGTGAAGTCAGCCAGTCAAAGAGTCAGCCAGTCAAAGTGGAACAAATACTGCATGATTGCACATATGAGAGTTATCCAAAAGAGTCAAATTCATAAAAGCAGAGATGTTGCCCAGGGGTGGAGGGTGGTTAGCGGGAAGGGAAGTGGAGAGTTGCTATACATGGCTATAAAACTTCAGTTGGCAAGCTGAATACGTTCTAGATGTGTTGTAGCACTTTCGTTGTTCTGATGTATTTAAAGTAAACAATACTGTATGGAGCATTTAAAAATGTTGTTGAGGGTTGCTCTCCTCTTAAGTGTTGTTACCACAAAAACAAACAAAAAAATGAACACCCCTCCACCCCCAAACAAAATCCCTAAACAAACCAACAAAGAGCACAAGGGAACTTTTGGGGATGATGCTATTTCATGACATTGATTGTGGTGTGGGCTTCCTGAGTGCCCATCGAGTGGTGTACATGAAATATGTACAGCCTTAATAAAGCTCAACATACTATAAAAGTATTCTTAAAAAGTAAACAAATGGTAAAAGGCAGTCTTTGACCCCCTGGGCTGTGCCAGTGCTGGAACTGTTGCCAGGGCACAGCCTCCAGATGGGGCCTCTGCCTCCTGTGCACTGGGCTCTTGAGGGAGCAGCCACGAGTCAGACAGCCACACAGACAAAGGCTCCAGAGAGGAGCACAGAAGCTAGGCGAGCATCTAACAGGAGCAGATGCCTTGTGTGGGAGATCAGGAAGCTGTTGCTGGGGAGGTCATGTTTAATTGAAAATCTGGGAGGTGAGTGAAGGATCACCAAAGGATCCCAAAGAAAAGATGAGAGTGTCCCCCCCAAAAAGCAAGCATATGCAAAGGTCCTGGGTGGGAAGAAGCATGACATTTTCACAGTGGAAAGGAAGACCAAGGTAGACAGGGCACAGGATGGGGTGAGTATTAGGGGGACCCCTGGTGTTTGCTGGCTTACCTCCACCCCTTCCCTCTCTCCTCCCAGAGAGGACAAGTGATTATTCTGACTAGTGAGTTTGGGAGAAGGAGCTGAATGTGCTGGGTTCAACTATGTCCTTGGTTTCTTTGGGGATCTCTGGCCCTGCAGGGTGAAGCCTGAAGTCCTACTGCCCGTGTGGCTGGATGTGAGGGCAGAATAGGAAGCCCAGTGATGCCACCTGAACCACAGCCCCCGAAGCGCGTGGGGCTTTGTACCCGAGGAAATACAGCAGGTGTTTGATCTCCATCTTCTGGACTCCTGACTTCAGCCAGGGGATGAAGGGGCCACTTGCTGGGCCCTACGGGCAGGGGTCAGAGCGGACATGGCCTGGTCAGTCACTTTCTGCCCAGAGTGAGATGGTTTTGGTTTTTGGTTTGGAGGGTGGTCAGCAGACATTCTGAACACAACCTTTGTTTTTCTTTCATAGTTGGAGGGCTGCGGAGTGGAGTTGGGGAGGGGAGCCTGGGAACCTCTGTAATAGTGGTTTCCCTCGCTATCTGCTTGGTCTGATTTGCTAGGTTATTATTTGGGTCTGGGAAAACTCAAAAATTTTCCATAGAAATTAAAGATAATAGTGCTTCCAGACCTCCAGGATAACCTATCAAATCATACTGAACACAATGTTCTATTTTTGGATAGCAGGTGTAACCTGTATTGAGTGATCCAGAGATTTAATTACACTTTTTCTCCACCAGAAAGTTACCAATTTTCATGGAATACATCAGCAATTTAAATGCTATGTCTGACTTTTCTCTGTGATGAGGATGTTCAAGGTTTCTAGTTTGCCCTTTTGAGCCTACCCAGGGTAGCATGGGAGTCGCCCTCACTAATTTACCCTCTCAGATAACGAATTGCATAAACCTGTCCATCCCTTTGCAGCTCATTCTGGAAGGAATACACCTTCCATCTCATTCTGTCCTCATGAGAATCCTACAAAGGGAGGACTATTGTCTGGTGAACAGATAAGGTGACTGAGGTACACACAGGCCAAGGGACTGGCCCAGGACATACAGTGAAGAGTGGAGGGTTCAGGATTTGGGCCCAAGTTTCTGTGATGTCAAAGCCCATACCACAGTCCACTGGGAGCCTTATCATTTTATTGGCAGAGTTGCTCATTATTTACCTGTAAAAGGACAATGGGGGTGCCTTGGAAAATAAAAGGTAGATGCTTCAGGACCCTCCACAGGGACAATAGCCTATTGGACCCTCCTTGTTTCCTTGATTCTCATCTCCTTGTTTCCTTGATTCTCCCAACAGGGATGTGCTTTCCACTTAGTAGGAAACGGGACTTCTTAATTGATTTCAAATTAATTAAGAAGTCCACAGGCCTGGGCTGGGGCTGGGGGTAGTGGTTATGGCTGCTGGACAAGCTGGTTCCAGAATACCTGCTCACCTCTCAGCCTAAGGCTTCCTTCCTCAGGGAAGGCTTCCCAGATGGCAAGGTTAAGTCTCCAGGTCATTCTCTTCCATTGCACTGATATTAGTTTTTAGGTGTATACCTGTGTGGTTACTGGATTAGTCTGAGTCCTTCAAAGACTCAGTGTCCATTGTGAACACAGTTCCTGACCCATCTCTGGCTCCTCACCCACACTCATTGAATAAACTCAACATGTGAAGACAAGGGGGAAAGGTGTTTCAGCAGATGGAATAACATGCGCCAAAAGCCATAGGAGAGAGGGCATCTGGCACTAGATCTACAAGCAGGCAGGTCGAGTGTCTGGTCAGATTGGACCAGGGGTGAGGGATAGTTAGGATGTTGTCAACCTTGTTGAGGATTTTGGCCTTTCTCTCAGGGGCAATGAGAAGACTTTACAAAGTTGTCAACAGGGAGGAGGGTTTGGCAATTGGCAACTGGCAACAGGGTTTGTGTTTCAGCAAGACTGTCTTGGTCATAGCAAGGGTTGAGGCTGAAGCTGAGAGATCAGGAAGGAGGCTATTGTAACAGCCCAGGAGAGAAAAAAGTGGTGCTAAAGGGAAAAGACAAGTTTGGGAGGTAGGATGGAGAGGACTTGGTGTGGAGTCATTTGGAAAAGGGGTCAAGTAAGATGCTCATGTTTCTGGCTCAGGCAGGAAGGGGGTCAGGATGAGGATGAGGCAGGTCATGTGGGTCCAGGTGAATTCACAGTGGTGGCATGGAGCCTGGTCACCACAGGACTCTTGACCTTCTGCACATCTTAAAGGAATCCTCTAAACACAGCACCTGATACTGCCACATTCAAGGATTCAGGGGCTCCATTCTCAGCAGGTAGAATTCATTCCATACAGCTCTGGTCAACTGGCTACCTGAAGTCCCACCTGAGTCAGCTACAGGAGCTCAGGAAATCTATGCTGGGCTGCAGGGCAGGGAAAGGCACTCTCCTGTGAGGAACCAAAGTGTCAGCCCCTTCCCAGTCTGAAAAGCTGAGCTGAACCAGGGCAAGGCTTAAGAATTGAGTCAGTAACGGCTTGTTCACACAATCCTAAATATGAGCACCAGGGGGCCCCCTTGAGTCTTGAGTAAGATTAGCAGGGGTCAAAAAAAAAAAAAAAAAAAAAGAAAGTTGAGTTTCCTTACCTTTGTCTTGAGTGGATTTTAGTTGACTGGCAAGGGTAGTTAGTACAGGAGGGTAGTTCACTACAGGAGGCTGGAATTGACTGGTTGACAATCACTCATCCAACAAATAATTGTTGAGACTGCTCTGTGAGGCAGTGGAGCACCAGTGGAGTCAGAAAGCCTGGACTGGCTGCTAATTTATCAGATAAACCTGGACAAGCCCATGAAAGTCATACTTTGTGGTCATAGCATCTTGAAGTCACTGGTCAATTGGACCTTGAAAACAGCCCTATTGGGTCAGATCATTATCTCCACAGAGGAGACACTGAGTTTGGAGGGACTCGGAAACCTTCCCCAAGGATCTGAAAGCAAGGTAGGGCTTCAGATTAAATCCAGTGCTGAAGGTCAAGGACCAGGGCACTACCCCAGAGGGCATCTTGGCAGTGGGTGCCATGGAAGGATTTGAGGGAGGAGATGACACTCTTCATGGTTGAGGGATTGAATGTGGGGGTCTAGCGAGGAGAATGAGAGCTTTTCGGGGCAGGGGTGAGGCTGCAGTGAGGGCAGGTCCACAGGCCTGGGCAGGGGTGAGGCTGCAGTGAGGGCAAGTCCACAGGCCTGGGCTGGGGCTGGGGGTAGTGGTTATGAGCTGCTTTGCCAAAGACAAGACCCTGGAATGTGGGATCTGAGTAGGCAGGGAGCTGGGGCATTCTGAGGATGGCAGTTGGGTGGCCAGCAGATGGTAAAGCCACCTCAGAGACAAGAATGGTGGAGCAAGAACAGGTTTTAAAGGAAAATGAGAACTCTCCAGCCCAAAAGCGGCCAGTTGGGCTGCCTGTCCTGGTGGGGGGTGGGGGTGGGGTGGGGGTGGGGGGCTGGAAGGCAAAGTGGGGAGGGTCCTGTCTTCTTCGGTGTGAGATCCCATCTTTCTGTAACAGCTTCCCAGGCAGGGGCCATCTCTCCCTGTTTATCCTTAGGAATCATTTGAAATCATGTGTGTTTATTTCTCAGCTTTTAACCTTGCCAACATGTGCCTCTTAAATACTAATTACCTCTTGGACTCTGACAATTCTGCTTTCTTAAAACAGCCCAGCAGGCCTCTCCTGTCCATGAAAGGCCAGCGTGCAGCTGTCTCTGTGCACAAGGCCTCTCTGGACAGTCCTAGGATAATTAGCCAGGGAGGCTGAGGCTCCTTGAGCGGACAAGGTGACTCAGTTGGCAGCCACCGACTCTCCAGAGCCAGCCCTGGTCTCCAGGCAGAGGACACAGCAGCCAACCACACCCGGCTGCCGGCTGTGCCCTCAGGCCTAATGAGCAGAGACAGGCCAGCCGCAGTGCCTGCTGGGTGGGCCTAGGGGGTGGTATCTGCAGGGATCAGGAGGGCCCTTCCTGGGTGGACTGACAGCTCCCTGGGCCCCTTAGTGCTGGAGGGGAAATCACATTTCTCCTGGGGGGATACTGCTTAATGACAGTCCCTGAACTTCCCACTCCCTAGAACCAACTCTTATTTTTTTTTTTTTTAAGATTTATTTATTTATTTATACAAGCACTGGGTACAGTCAGAAGCATGGGGAGGTGAAAGAATTCACCAGAGACAGAGCGGGGAGCAGCAGGCAGACTGACGAAATACACTGCTGAGGGGAGCAGCGGGCGGCAGGAGAGGTCTGTGCGCCATGCAGGACCCTCCTCCGGTGGCCGGGGAGCAGCTGGGGATCGAACCGGCACTGCAGAGGTTGCGGGCAGCTTTGCAACCCAGTGCTCAACCGCTGTGCCGCCGGGGAGGCCCTAGAACCAACTCTTATGAGTATAGAGCCAGCTCTTCTCCAAGACAGAATATGGGGAGGAGAGGGGGGGCTTCCAGAAGTGTGCAAAGTTAGGGCCCGCCCATTAAGGCTGGAGCAAGGAGGGATCTGTGAGAGGGAATAAGGCCTTTCTCCCCTCTCTCCCACCGTATCCACGCAGTGTGTGCAGATAAGTGGTTAAAATACGTAGAGGGGAGGAAGATTTTCCTCTTCCCTTCTATGATCTTTGTCGGGACCCCTGTAGACAATGACAGATGAACATGAAAAAAATAAAGAAATGGAAGTTTACTCACTGTATAGCTAATGCGTACACGGGAGATATCCAAGGAAACAGGAGTAACGCAGAGAGGTAACTTAGCATTCAGGCTAAACGCCATCTTCAACTGAAGATGAAGGTTGGTGCCTTCTTCACTGGTCCGAGTCTAAAGTTGTCTTTGGGGCTTAGTTGTCCTTCCTGGGTGCAGAGGGGAGGTGGGATATCTTTGTATGTTTATGTCTTATTTTTAGGTAAAGTGGGGAGGCAGTGAGCTTTTCTTCTATCTGCTCTTTCTCCATTGTCTCCAGCTCAAAATAATGCTTATGCCAAAGAGGCATATTTTGGAGTGAAATATTCTGTTTGGAATATCTATAGGGGACCTTTATCTGTTTGCAATCTGGCAGAACTGAGGTTCAAATTCTAGCTATGCTTACTCTCTGTGTGACTATAGGCAAGTTACTGGTTGTGTAGAATTGGGATGATAACAGAGTTGGCCTCCCAGAACAGAGGCAATGGCTTGTGTTCATTTGCCAGGGCTCCCCTGGTGCAACTTCACCTTCCACTCCTTGCTGAGTCCTTTCTCTAGAGGACAAAGGAGCCACTCTTTTTGGGCCAGGGTGTCTGACAGTGGTGATTGCGGAGAC